GCTATCTACCCCTCTGTCTCTTTCTCCTCCACACTTATCTCTCTCTCTCTCTCTCTCTCTCTCTCTCTGCCTCCTCTTTTGCCTACACCTCCTCATCTCTCTCTCTTGCCTCCACCTCCGCCGCCTCTTTGCTAATCCAGCTGGTTTAGTATCAATCCATGCCGACATTTGGTTTACTGTATGAAGTTGATACCAAACCAGTCTGACCGCTACCCAATAAGGACACAAGCAAGGACTATTGTACCATCCAAAACGATACGAAACTATCGGTATGTACTGGTCCGAACATGGGCCAGTACATGTACCCTCGTCGTTTCGAGTGGCCAGGTTAAAATAATATAAAATAGAAAAAAAGAAGAGGTGGGGTCCATCTAACTTGGCATTAAAAATGAAAAAAAATTAGGGCTCACGAACATGAGCCCTCTTCCCATGTAGGACGCTGCTGCCGTCACCACTGCCCCTGCCCCTGCCGCTACTTCGCCATTGTCATTGTTCCTTTATCTTCCCAAGTACGCTCCCACCTCTTCTTCCCCTCCTCTTCTTCCTTCTTCCTTCTCCTCCACCACTTCTTCTTCCTCCTCCACCACTTCCTCTTCTTCCTTCTTCCTTCCTCCTTACTCCTTTTCCTCCTCTATTCCTCCACCACCCCTTCCTCTTCTCCCTCTTTTTCTTCCTCTGCGAAACACCATTACATACTGATGTACCTTGTGTCAGTACACTCACTCGACAAATCATTGAAACGGATCCAGTACCGGAAACAGCAAACCTTGGACACAAGTTCAAGATTTTGAACTATACTTGAAAGTTGAAACTATAAAACAAAGGTTAATTCACAATACTTGCATACATATGTCAAGCACGTGCCAAAATTTGTTGCCTCCGAGTAACATAACGTTTGCAAGAAAACTCATGCATCAAAACAGATAAACAAGGTGATGGTAAGTGGCTTGGTGCAAATTTATGATGCTAAACTCCAGGACAAGTATGCTCAGCAATCAAACATCACACTTCTCAGCAACCTAACGACCACTACTTGAGCTTTTGATTGTATGATGTGCAATTGAACAATTAGCAACTTGGGCTTCTTATGCAATAGAGAAACCAAAAGTTTAGTATCAAATTTGCTTCTGATCATGGATTTCCATATCTAGGCATACCACCCAATATTGAGTGTTCTGTATCAGTCTGTTGTATGTGGTAACATGCTGTCCCAAGAGTAGACCAACAAAGCCTTGGTCATATGATTAGCTTGTCATTGGTTGGGTCCCATGCTGATGGATATATACCAGTCCGTTCAAGACCAATTGTCTATGGTACTAAGCACAAATGAGGGTAATATTTACTTAGAAACAGACAGCTTTCATGGTGAAAAGGCAATAACAAATGACAAAAGAGCTATTGAAGACTACTACAGAGAGAAACACATATAGCACACAAACATTCCAAAGACAAAACAGTGTCACCCAGAAAGTTAGACTTACCTTCACTGAGCCAAGCATATTGTTTTCAAGATCCACATCAGTGCTTTCAGAAACTGATTGTAGATCAGAACGATCAAGAAGTTTTAGAATAGCACCTTCATCCCAAACAATCTTTGTACAACCCTCGGTACATTTATCTTTGTACACATCCCCCAAAACTCCAGTCCTCCTCCTATGTTTATGCTCATTATCAGGAACAGCATCAAGTTTGCTGGTAGGGGCTTCTTTTGCATCTTGCCCATTCACAGCATCAGAATCACTGAAAAGCTCTCCGGCTCCCCATCGAAGAATGTCCTCCACTTCCTTCTGAGATTCTGACTTATTCACAAATAGTTGATCTAGCATCAATTTCTTTTTAGCAAGATGTAAGATGCGCTCCTCAACACTAGCACGTACTACAAGCCTGTAAACCAGAAGTCTCTTTGATTGCCCTATTCTGTGTGCTCTATTCATAGCTTGTATATCTGCATGTGGATTGAAATCTGAATCATATATGATAACAGTGTCAGCAGTCGCCAGATTGATCCCAAGGCCACAAGAACGTGTGGACAACAAGAACACAAATCGTGTTTTATCTTGATTGAAACGAGCAATAGCTGCTTGACGGTCTGCCACAGGTACTGAACCATCCACCCTTTCATATGTTTTAGGGCCAAATTCTATAGTTAGGTAATCCTCAAGAATATCAAGCAACTTAGACATCTGAGAAAATATAAGGACTCTGTGTCCTTCCTTATGTAAAATCTTGAGCATGGAATGCAATAAAGTCAGCTTTGCTGATGCCTTTATCCGCATTTCATGAAGGAACTCCATGGAACCAGATTCAGGTTCAGTTCCTGGAATAAGATATGGATGATTACATACCTTCCGGAGTTGCATCACTATATTTAGCAATGATTGCTGTGCGCCACCTTTTCCTATGTTCCGCAATATCTGATAATTTTTTGTCAACATTGCGCGATAATATTCAGCCTGGATGGAAGTCAATTCAACAGGAATTATCCGCTCAGTCTTAGGAGGAATATTTTGCATAGCATCTTTCTTGAGCCTTCGAAGCATATGTGGTGCAACAAGTTTTTTCAACTCCTCCACCTTTTCTGCTGTTGTAAGATCATCAAACTTCTCTTCAAATGCTGCTAAAGAGGGGAATGCAACGGGTTGCAAAAAGTTGAGTAAGTTATACAACTCGCCTATGTTATTCTGCAAAGGAGTTCCAGTCAATAACACACGGTGTCGAAAAGAAAATGTATTAAGCAAACCAAAAAGTTTACTACTTGAGTTTTTCAAACGATGCCCCTCATCAACTATAAGAACCTCCCAAGGGACTCCACGTAGATAAGAGAAATCAGCAAGTACCATCTCATAAGTAGTCAACAAAACATTGAACTTGTATGACTTGGATAGCTTATGTGATTTTTTAGGATTATTGGCATGCCATTCATATTGACGTATTATGGATCTCGCCTTTGCACAGCCATGATACTCCACAACATTCAAACGTGGGGCCCACAGTGCAAACTCAGCCAACCAGTTAGGCATAGTGGAAAGAGGTACTAATATCAAACTGGGTAGCTTAGCCTTAAACTCAAAGTACAAAGATGAGATAAAAGCACATGCAGATATGGTTTTTCCAAGCCCCATCTCATCAGCAAGAATCACATTTTTATTCTTAAACCAGCATTTGCGTAGCCAATTAAGAGCTTCTAGCTGATGTGGAAAAAGCAATCCGCCTTTTAGCACATTTGGCTGCTCAACAAGAGGAAGAAGATCTTGGCAGTCACCTTTTCTTTGCTGAGAATCATCATTAATATCCTTATCAAAAGTCTGGGATTCTAACCGTTTCAGTTCATCTACCCGATGGGCTGATTCCTTCATTACAGGTTCATCTAATCTTTCCCAAGTGCATTCATCATATGGAAGGCCACACCATTTAACCAAAGCTTCATTTATACCATCCTTACAAGTTCGAAGGGAAATAACACGCTGTGGTATCTTCCACTGTTCCTCACAAATATTAATGATAGCAGTCCCATATTTAGCTTTATAATTCTCCAATTTTCTTTTGGCCAAAATTTTCAATTGGGATTCAGGAACCCAGGTATTATGAGTGTTTGATTGCCCCACCCATTTAACAAGAAATTCATAGATAATGTCATCATTGTTCTCATTTCCTGAGTCCTGCACCATTTCTACAGTGATTCTACTTTTATCATTATTGCTTGGCTGTGTGTCAAGAACCGATCCATCATCACCATTTGAAACACAGGAAACAGCTAATTGAGAAGGTCCAGTCTCTGTATATGAATTACTCTGCTTGTGTGCACTGATAAGATCTGAATCTTTTGAATTTTCCATACAAACTTCTAGAGCAATATTTGCTTTATCTAATGGAGAATCCTTCAGAACCACAAAATTTTCCTTTGTGATGTGCTCATCCTGCAAACATTCACTTGTTGGAATATTATTCAAAGATCCTTTAGATTCACATGATTTGTCATTATAAGCCTCAGTTAGAACACGTTTTGTGTCCTTTATTTCAACTTCACATTGATTTTGACACTCTGTCAGCAACTTGTCATTGTTTCTGGGACCATTCAAACCATAAGGCGGTTGTCTACTAGCTGGGCTCCCTGGATTGTTCTCAGAATCAGCAAGTTCCGAAGAAGTAGGAGACCTTATTGTTTGGCTAGACATCTTGGTGCTAGCTTGGAGACGACAACCCAGAATGCGATCAACCTATCAAGGAGAAGAATGGAAATTGAAACAACAAAATCAAGATTTTACTAAATAAGGAATTAAAGAAGCTTAAAAATTATAATCCTTCGTAATCAAACCTAAGGACAACCTGAATGTCGGAAAAATTTTAGCAATTGTTATTGTTGTCCACAATCATGAAGGATACATAGTACCTGTTGAACTCCATCCCAATGATTCCCATGATGTTTTGTTATCTTATGTGCTTGCATGCTTCGTTCATCTAATTCTTGTGATGAGCGACTCGCTTTTTCAGTTGATATCTGCATATTAAATAGAACAATGACTGCACGAAATGATATTTGACTACCTAGCACAAAAGCCTTCTGTAAGAATGAATAAGGTACCAAAAAGAAAATGAGTGAATCTATTTTAAATATCAATTGGCCTACCAAGCTTTGGGCTTTAAATTCTAACTATGCTAAAGAATTCAAAATTTCTTATATCTTTAAAAGCTTACGAGGATAGTGGAAACATAGGTTCAATCCTCCATCATGGAGATTTCTGTAGGACACTCATAAAAATCTTCAGCAGTGGACAATATGGAAATTCATGAACTCCAAAATCTTTGAAAGATTTGATTTAAATGTTAAGGGCTTTGTCTAGGAATATTTCTATTGGTTTTCTTTGTGTAAGATGGGTGTGAACAAGAGGAAAATACTGACTTTCTCATATCTTGTTTTCACTTTTCTGCCCAAAGACTTTTCTTTTAACTGAGTATAGTGTCACTGTTCCTTTCCTTTTCATCTCTTTTCCTTTGTCTTTTTCTCTTCTTGCCTTTGCACCCTTTCATTTCCTCATGAAGTGAGATTCATATAGGTTTGCCTACCCTTTGCCTCAAAAAATGGACCCTCCCAACATCAATGCTTCTCCAAGTGTCACAGCATGACCAATTTGCAAAACTCAAATCAATCTTTGTTCCATTAGTCACTTCTAAACAATCTTCGAATTCTGAACCTTCATTATATGAATATTGAGCTCCAGCCTAACATCTTCAATCTCTTGATTGACAATTCAATGGATTTTTTTTTCCTTGCCCTGATATCCCATTTCATGATTAATTCATCACAAACTAAAACACAACATTAGTAATTTTTATATCGATTCAACACTTCATCAGGAGGCTACGTCAAGCACAGATACCAATCTAAATGAATGTAAGAGTTAAGACTACTAAAACTGAAAAAAGAGAGTACCTTAGAGCAAACATAGTATTCACAGCTTCTGAGATAAGAGAATGGATATACAAATAAGCAAGAATTGAGAAAATGAGGGAGCATAAAAAAATGATGAAGAAATAATTAAAACGGGCCATCCTGATACCAACTTTCCTGCCTTCAATAATAAATCAGTTGTGTGCATCATTACTACAGTGAATTAGTGTGTTCCCTTTGAGGCTTGCACTATAGACTACCAGATCATACAACAACTAGTAGATTGTCTCCTCCTCCGAGGCTTAAAATATAGAAGTCTAACAGATCATCTACTTTGACACCTCTTCAGTGATTGTCCTTAAATGTGAAAGTCAACTGCACTCGATGGTACTTGTGGATGGTTGATTGCTAATTATGTCAAATTAGTACTTTCATAGCCCTTACAATACTAACAATAGATATAAACCAAGTCCAACTTATACCATTATCAATGCAGACCCCAGCTTAATTTGTTCAAACTATCCAAAAAACCAAACAAGGATAAACCTATGCAGGTGATCTTGTTGTGTAAATCTAAAGAAGCATCTTATCACCGAAGAGGTACTAGTCTGTCATGGCAAGAGAAAGTAATAACTACTAAAAAAACAAGAATGCAAAGGACAGAGGGACTTCAGGCGCTGGTTATCATATCAAGTCCTTGACTAATAGTTAGAAATTATAACTTCAATGTATAGTCTGCAAATATGGTTAAATTATTCTGGTCGCTGGTGGAATGTCAGAATCTTGAAGTTCAAAATAGTGACAGTTCTTCTATTTTAAAAGATCCAATCACAAATCTTTAAGAAGATACATTCTAGGGTACTTAGTAGTTAGTACATAATACTATATGATTTAGTACAAAATGTACAATTTGTAATATGTGGTATTGTAGAAACCACAATTGACTTTTGTTTTGGAAAGCTATTCTTTATATCTTATCATACAATTTATTAATCATTTTTAATATGAAGATAGCCACTTAAAAAGTTGTAACAAAAGGTGGACGCCAGATTTTCAAGGGTATGTCCATGGTCCATGACAATGTGCTCACGAGAGAGAGAGAGAGAGAGAGAGAGAGAGAGTAGCTGGATGAACAAGATTACTATCTCTAAATTCTTGTGATGGCTTCAAATTTAAAAGGAAACACAACATCCAGCTAACAGAAATATAGGAGGAAGGAGGGGGGAGGTAATAATGGTTGCAGTTTAAGCATCATTTGATATAACCAATAAAAAATAAAATATGGAACCACTTAGGAACAATATACCTTTCCAATAATAAATTTTAGAATTTGAACGAGGTTGAATAGAAATATCTTTCTGTATGTGATCCTAACAACATTACCCTAGTGATAAAAAATGTAAAATCATCCTGAATACCCTACAAGACAAATCAACATACCATCAATATCAAGAGCATAATCTATTCATGTGATCTCAGATATACCTCATATTTATCAATTTCAAATGCAAGGTTTATTGATTTGCATTCAAGATTCATAACATAAAAAACATGATCATTCTCAAGGTTCTGAATACCATACCATACTAGTGTACCGATCAGCTATCGATACGATACGTACCAAACTGTACCAAGCGTACCAACATATAGTACACTAAAGTATACCAATGCACTGCCCATACCGATCCTTTATCGGGCCAGTACATACCGTCCGTACTGAGCGGTACGGTACGGTATTGCAAACCATGATCATCCTACACATGGTAAATTTCAAATGCAGGATAATGTTACAGATATACCTGCATTGAAATGCAGGAAATTGAAAACACAATCATCCTCAACACGAGGTCAATTTCAGATGCAGGATAATATCACATATGTATACTTGCATTTGAAATGCATAACATTGAAAGCACTATCATCCTCAATAAAAGGTCAATTTCCAATGCAGGAAAACATTACATATATGTAAATACATTTGCAGATAGCCTAGATATAGAAATATCCATGCAAGAGGTAGTTGAACTTTAAATAAAAAGGATCAGTTACCAAACTTTTTAAAAATGCTATCGGTTATCCATCATAAACATAGAAACATAAAAATTACCTCATACTGCTCTTCACCAGCAGAACTGCTGGCTTCTTCCTTAGATGCAGAGTTCTGCTGATCAAGAGACTTGCAGTTTTGAAGTGACCCACCAGTACTAAGACATGTTTCCATAGATGGCTCATTACTGACAGCTGTTGAAGCATCCTTTCCTTTTTTGGCTATAGGTTTCTTCTTCTTATCTGTCATACTAGGCTTTTGCTTCTTTTTCCTGGATTTCTGAGTGGAGAGAACAAATGGAACGATAAGTTTTTCTTTTTGCATGTCCCTCTTATACACATCAGACTTTTCTTCAGAAAAACCTTCACTATGATATTATTTCAGAGTTTTAACAAGAAAATGTGCTACCTCATGAGAGCTTGTTTTCCGTCGAAATGATGAATCTGACTTCTTAGTTTTATTATCTGTTGCTGCTAAAATGCCATCTTGGGGCCCACCTTCACACAAGTGGCTTGATTTTGGGCTGACTGATTTATCATATCTAGATGAATCAGACTTCTGATTTGGAGTTCTACGAGAAAATGTAGCTTTTCCATTATTAGTTCTTGGAACAGAGTTTCTCTCTGGAAGTGTTGCCTTGTCATGGACTGGTTGTTTGTATAAAATTGTGGGCTTTCCAAACATGCTCTTCATTCTTGCGCGTCTTAAATAAGGCTCTGAATTATCTGATGTTTTTATGTTAGCCTTCTGCTCAGAGCAGTTTCGGCAATGCCACTTCCCAGATGGGATACGCTTCGGAAGGGGAGAAAAAATACAGGAATCGAAATGAGTACTTCTTTAAACAAACAATGATCAAGCAATCACATCACAAGGAACTACATGAAATACCTTAAGTGGGGGAGTGAGACATTCAAGGTGATAAGTTCGAGGACAGCTATCACAACAAAGCAAATTGCCACCAAGATCACATACAACACACTCAAAATAATGCTACAAGAGTAAAAGAAAAATGAATTAGATGGTGTGATGGAGAAGAATGTCTCAAAAATGTTTGAAAATAATGAAATCCAATTATTTTTATGTGAACTTGTATCTTAGGATTTTACTAAGACACCAGCTAGATACTTTAAGGTCTACTCTATTTAGTGTCTGAATAGGTTTTGTATCTTTGTATCAGCCGTCAATACTCCTCAAAAGAGATGTGCTGCTTGTTATGATGGTTTCCCGTTCAATAATGATTTTGTAAGATGGAATAATCAGTTTGGCTAAAAGCTGGTACTCAAAAACTTCATGACATCCATTCAGACAAGTTCTTCTTTTAGTAAAATGGAAGTGTCACCTAATGTAAGCTGGTACTCAAAAGCTAAAGACATCGATGCAGATGAAGTTCTCGTGTTAGTAAGATGGAAGTGTCATTTGATTTTGACGTATTAGTCATATGCTCGTAAAATCCATTCAGCTAAGATTTTCTGTCTTGTTTTTAAAGTTGCCTAATATATGAGAACCTCATATGGATGCATAGCCAAGTGTCTAATCTGGCAAGTAAACATAAAAAGATATGGGAACACGTAGGAAAAGAGCGATATGACAAAAGGTAAGCAATCTCAGAGTAGCGCCATGATGTTGAGCCAAAGTTAAAAATAGGAAATAAGTAAGAAGCCTTAGAATCATAAAGATATCCAATTCTAATATTGGTATGTAATTAAAAATCCACTAATGATAACTATGATAGTTATAGAAACACAGGAGTCTCATGTCAACAGAGCCACAGGTCCATAACAGGGCAAACTTCTAAACCCAATGAAAGATGTATGAAGCCTTCCATCTATACCATCAACTCACAAATAGAAGGTGAACATTGCTGTCATTAGTTGCTATTTTGCAACCCATGTGACCAAGATTTGGGTTACAGAAATGGCGTATTTGCTCATACGGGTGAGGCTACATAATGTTGACCCTCCCCACACTCTGTGTTGGTACGGCTTGTCCGCTAGGCCACCTTGTTTAATATAGATGAACAATATTTGTTAGTAGATCCAGAACCGTAGCACATCTAATTCTACTTATAATTAAACAATATGCTACAAACACATGTCAGATGGTGAGAAAATGTCATGCGTCTCCAGCAAGATAAAGCTAAAAAAAGGAGAGAAAAAATCTTGTTTAGTTCTAAGGGAAATCACAATAAAACTATGAACACTCACTAAAAAATATAAAATGTCATGCCTAAAAAAGCATTCTCAGTAACTATATATTTCATGTACGTTAGTCAAATCCTTTCTGAACGAATCTGAGATTGATTTTTATAGTTACATTAAACTCATGCATAATATGAATCGCTTACATATTGTTCCATTCAACACTCTGACAATAACTACTTTACATGTCCTGATACACTTCATTAAAGAAAAGATTAAGAAATCTACTGTTTCAGAAAAAAGCTCAGGCAGCGATTTAATAGCAGCATAATATCTATCTACAAGACCACGACATACAATTAATAAAGCAGAATAAGCAGGTAATTACTGACTGTGCATAAATAAGTGCCAGAACAAAATAAATATTTAGCAAATAGAGATATCTTACCCCATCCTGTCCTTTGATCTTACGAGCAAGTCTAGAAACGTGAATGTCACCTTTCTTCCTCTTAGCGGCATTGTTCAACAGGGATTCTGAAGATCGGGAAGTACTCTCCTTTCCATTTGAAAGACCCAGCCCAGACGTTATCCTTTTCCTCTTGCGCTTCAAGAGCCAATTCCTATCTATCATGTTATCACGCGAAGAGCTTTCTTCCCTCATAATCGGCGCCTATCGTTGTCATGCATCAAAGTCCCATGTAAAGACACCTGACAACAGGCAACTAGTTGCTTGATCAGCTCAGCATCAACAATAATTCATGGCACAACACACAAATCACAAAGACTGTGAAATAGAAAAGCAAGAAGATCTAAATATATAGGGATATGTATTCAAGTTTGTACATAAATGTGTGCCGGGATTCTATCAGCATTCAACTCAAGCAACAAAAGCGATAACACAATAGTAAAACAGGATCAAGATCTTCCTATCAGCAACTAAAACTTTCACAGTCACATGTGCAAAAAGAATATGATCCCTTCCAAAAGAAAATGAAAGGCATATGGAAGCAGCTCAATGTTTTTGTAAACAACTATAACTGCTCATGGGGAACTTTCCAAGATATCTCATGGTACCATGCAACAAGAAGTTAACCCTCGAAAGAGTCTAATCTTTCTTAGTTCTCCTGGATGTCCACATTTTCACTTTAATCGCCTGCTACTTCTTTTATCAGTGCCCGCAAACATCTATACTTGGCCGAAAATCCCATCTTTTTGCAAAACAGATTTCCAGAAATGGTAACAAACGCAGCAGACTGGGGCGGTTTCTTCACACATCCAAGATGAGTGCCGCAAAACCCAGAGGAGGTTCAACGATGGAAGAACCAAGAAGTTAAAACGGGAACTTTTTCCCAAAATGGAAAAAGTATCCAAGCCCAAGAACGAACCATTCACCGGCAAACAAATCTCTAGCGGTGGGATAAGAATGATCAAGAGCACTGGGTCGGAGAGAATAAATGAAAACGAATGAACAAAATGAGGAGATCGGAGAGCCACCTGCGGTCAGCGACAAAAGCGTGTGACCAACACCCCAACCATTAACCACAAATCGGCCGTGAGCTGGTGGAACAGCGACCGAAACCGATCCCAGCCGCCAGGTCTGGCCGACAGGCGCCGCCTCCCGATCGAGATCTCTCCCCTAATTCCTCCCCCAACCCGTGCTTCACTCCTCTTCGCTGGCGGTGGTCGCAAGCGAGGACCGTGACAAGAAGGAAAAAGAGAGGAAACCCAAAGGCTCGGGGCTTATATTGTACGGGAATCTGAAAGAGGAAAAAGATGCTCACACCGACTCTCGAGGACTCTGGAGGAACATCATATCGTCCCCCCCTCTATCTACGGCCGCGACCGTGCGTCAGCCCACCAGGGACCAATCAGCTTCGGACACGTGCACGGACCCGCGCTAGAGAGGGAGGGAAGCGTCGATCGCAGCGCGTCACCGCCGGTTCCGGCGGTATAGCCGGCCAGGCGCCGCACGGCGGAAGTCGCCGCCTCCGTGGACGAGAACGGAGACCAAAATGGTGGCTTCGCGTGTTTTCTCTTTTCCTCTTTCTCTCCCTCTTTTATCCATCTATTTATATATGGAGGCTTCGTGTCTGTGTTTCTCTATTCAATCCCTCTGTTTCTTCATATACGTACGCATATACGTATATACATATATATACGTATATATATATTCTTGGGTAGTAAATTTGAATGAGATGGTGCTTCTTGAGAGTTGAATCTCGTTCTTTTCACCCTCTTTGATGTTTCTTGTTTTATTCTTTCCTTTTTATATATTTTTTCTTTTGTTTTTGCCAGTTCATAGGTTGAGAGAGATGAAAGGGAATGTTAGAAGATGCTTATAACAACATGAGACAGATTTGATCTTCATCCTTTTGTACTCTTTTAATATTATAACAAAAAGATGCTTTAGATTTATATGGGAAAAATATAATTTTAAATTCAAGAAAATGCAATTTGCATGACTGACATAATTCAAAAGGTGTGAGCATGAAAATTATGATTTATTTTTTTAATAAAATTGAGGGAAAAATGACGGTGATAATTTGTGAATACTGAATAGATGATATAAGCATAAAGAACTTGAGATTATGTGTCGACGTGATTTTAATATTTACCTAAAATAAAAAATGCATGCATATATTTAATTTAACACTTATATCAATTTTGTTGTTTTTTTCCCCCTATTTCATGTTTTTTCTTTTTATAATATAAAATGGGTTGATATTTACATAAAACGAAAACACATTTATCTGTAAAGAAAAATAGAACATGGATAGAGCTGTTGTTTTAATATCCAAAATCCATTTAACCATTAATTAATTAATTTTCAATATTATTTAAAATGGAATATTTGCTATATATTAATCCGAATTTGAGTGTGTTCTCAACTTAATTGAGCAATTATTGATATGATAATTTGAAAGTCCTGAAAATGAATAATGAATGCATAAAGTAGGCAAAAATAGTTTGGATTTAATTGGATGCATTCCCCTGACTTGAGATTAATCATTAGTAACTTTGTGGGAGGAAACAAACTACTGTTCTTCTAATCGTACGTATTTAGCTTAATCGCCGAATAACCATTAACACCGAAAGGAGTCAACAGACGATGGGATGGAGACGAGCCTTCGTGCCGGGGGTCAACGGCCTGGAAGCAGCGTGGACGAAGGCCACAAACCCCAAGGCGTGGCCCAAAACAGCCGCGGCCATCGCGGCCGCGTCGGACATCACGGCCAGCATCAGCACGTAGCCGAGCCCGACGCGAGCGGCGTGCATGGCGGTCTGCGTCAGCCCCGACGCCGCTGCAGCGGCGATGACGAGGCGGTGGTCGCACCACTCGACGAGGACGGAGGCGGAGAAGACGGCGGCGAGGGCCAGTGCGTGCATGCCGGGGAAGACGACCTCCATGCTGTTGCAGCCGGGGAAGAAGGTCGGGTGGGCGCAACACATGCTCTCCTTGTCAGTTTCCACACCGCGATCAGGAGATTGGGCGGCTGAAGCACTTAAATAAGAGCGTGCCATGTTGCCTTTGCAGTACAAAAGCGATCTCCACTTTGATACCACCATGCAGTACAAATCCTGATGAGGCCATCAGTTGGCTCAGCACTTGGGCTATCTATCTCAAGCTTGCGCACATCAAGTGTAACTGGTGGTTCCAAACTGGTTCTTGTGGATCCAGCCATAATTCTTTTTCTGGAGAACTACCAATATACTTATTCTTCTTCTTCTTCTTTTCTGATATCAATGAACAACATGTTCTTATGAGTTTGAGAGTTCGATACCAATCTATAAAAATAGAAGAGGAGGAGAAAGGGAAGGATGGAAGAGGAACGAATGAGGAGAGAAGAACATAGGGGTTTATGATTTTTTATTTGAATCGTTTGGAATTAAAGCATCGGAATTAAAAATATTATTTATTAGTAGCGTTTTTTGGATAAATTCTGCAGTAATTTGATGCATTAAAATGGGATAATGCAGCCGCCGCCGCTGTGTCGTGGACCAATTATCCTACGCCAGCACAGCTCGACCATGCATGTTCTCCTTCCGCCACGTACTCACTTCCACCACCTGCACACCGACACAACCCTCTTCTCGTTACCCGAAAACGTCGTACCTATCCCTCCGCGAGTGACGCCATTGTGAATGAACATGGAGGAGAGGAAGGAAGAGCCGAAGAAGAAGGAAGCGGCGCAAGGGAGGGAGGCGGAGGTGGTGGAAGAAACATTACAAGGCAACAAGAAGATGAGGCGAGGCGCCTGCGGCTGGCTGCGGGAGCGCAAGGTGAGGGATCTCGTCCGCGACAAGCGCCGCCTCGTCGAGGTCCCCTACACCGCCACCCTCGCTCATACCGTCAACGCCCTCGTCGCCAACCGCGTCTCCGCGGTGCCGGTCGCCGCCCCGCCCGGCCAGTGGATCGGCGCCGGCGGGTCCATGATCCTGGAGTCCGACCGGGCCACCGGCGCCGTCCGAAAGCACTACATCGGCATGGTCACCATGCTCGACTTGCTCGCCCACATCGCCGAGGAGGGCGACCAGAATCACGGCGCTGGCGACGAGTCGTCCGCCGGCCCGGAGAGGGATCTCGAGAGGCGAATGTCGGTCCCGGTCTCCTCGATCATCGGGCACTCGCTCGAGGGGCTAAGCTTGTGGACTTTGAACCCCGCCACCAGGTTTGTCTTCCTTTCCGCCATTAGTATCACTCTTTTGTTTCCTGCTTCTTCTTGCCATAACCCTTGATAGCCTCACAGATGCTCTGCCACTGTCTTAAGCCAACAAAAGCTTGTCAATCTTCCTTTATAGATGTTATGGTCGATTAAGAGCTGCATCTTCCTATCACTTGCAGCATACTAGATTGCATGGAAACATTCAGCAAGGGGGTCCATCGAGCTTTGATTCCTCTTGAAAGCCAAACCAATCATGCAATTGCAGTGGAGCTGGCGGAGGCATCACCTGGCTACAGAATGCTCACACAAATGGACGTTATAAGTTTCCTAAGGGAGCAAAACCAAGAACTGAAGGGTGTCTTATCACACAGTGTCCTGGAGCTTGGAGCAATCAGTGAAGTTATCTTTTCTGTAAGCAAGCATACAAAAGTGATGGACACCATCAGATCCATGAGAGCGGCCGGCTTAGGTGCTGTTCCTGTTGTCGAAGCTCCCTCAGATGATCAAATCCTACAAGATGTAATAAATGCATCGGTGCAACACAACCTTGTTGTCAGATTTGATGTCCATGATATATTATTTGGTTCATTCTCAATTCTAACACAGGACCTTTATAGCTTGTTATCGCATTCTCATGTTATCATGTAATGCAATGTTCAGTGACCGGTACTGCTGTTTGAGTCGCAGGGAAAAGGAAAGAGGCTGATAGAGACATTCTCAGCAACAGATTTGAGGGGTTGCCCCGTCGTTCTACTGCAGTCATGGCTGTCGTTGAGCGTCACGGAATTCAAAGAAAGGCTATCGATGAGGGGCAGCAACGCAAGCATCGCACCACCCATGGCTGGAGATGATCCCAGCCCTGAAACAAGAAGACTCATCACATGCTCCCCGGAGACGAGCCTGTCGGATGTCATCGAGTCGGCGGTGTCGAACCATGTTCACAGACTGTGGGTCGTCGACGGTGAGGGGCTACTCCAGGGGGTCGTCTCCCTCACCGACATGGTGCGGGTGGTGAGGGACGCCGTTCTGCGAGCTGAACAGGAGCTGGAAGGCGTCGTTCAGCATGGCTAACTCGATCTCAAAGATTGTTTCTTTGTGTTAGGGTGATGAGATTCAGAGTCATGCAATCCCAAGTGTGTTCATAGAAAACTGGACATCAGGCTGCCTTGCTGTTCAGTTTAGCCTCTCTCTCTACATATATATATATGTTCCTGTTTCTCCTTGAGATACCATAATGATGTGCATAGGAAAGAGAAAACTAAGAACATGGGTACAATCTTTCACTATGCATACTGCTTGAGGATAAGAATCATCTGCACAAAGTGCTCTGTGCTTTCGCCACTCTGCCTGAGTGCATACAGCATGAGGATAAGGAAGAATCGTCTTGGTGACAGCAACGCATAGAGCGCGTCTCCTTGAGAGGTTCCCTGAGCTTGGAAGAGCAGACACACTCTTGCATTGTTCAAAGTAACCTTTTCTAAAGGGGTGTATTAATTGCGCACGCAACTTTGGTGATTTCTTTTACGATAGATTAGAACTATTGGATGCGAGTCAACTATGTTTTTAATGATGTAATAAATCAAAATAATTTGAAAACTTCATTAGAAAACATATCTTTAGAAATTAATGATTCCTAAATTTGACTAATGATAGTGGCTCAGTAAAGTTGATTGGCAAGCAAATACTTGTGCTGGATATATTCTTTGTGGATGGCCAAACATAGGCCATAATGCCCATAAAAGTAGGACAAAAAACAACTGTGTTTAGTGTCTCTTAATGCCACTACCATCCACTGAGGTCTCTCATGCATAGCACAATATGCTATATTCATTTTGCTAAGTTTTATGGTACTTATATATATATAATTTTTTTACAAAGACTGCATATATTGATTCTCTCTAAATCTTTTTGTAACGAGAATCTGATGTACTGGATTTATCTTTTTATTTTGCTGAGTTTTCATATAGTCCTTATTTCATGAACAAAGACTTGCAACAAGAATCTGATTCCATGTTGGAAATGGAGCAGCCTGTAAAGAAGACAAACACATCAAAATCACTTATATTCTCTTTTATTTCATTTTTGTTGAGTTATCATGCTTTATTGATATCATCAAAACACAGGAAATAAATAGAAGATAGCCATGAATAAACCATGAGCTGGATTTGGCAGTTTGTCCATCTGCAGACTGTTTAATATGGTCTTCAGTTGTCATCACATCATTGACATATTGATTTCAATTATGCCAAGAATCTAACAGAGGACAAAGATAGCCAGAAATAATTGTGGTGAAGTTGAATGCAGCACTCAGATTCCGGTGAATCCGTGTTAGAAGTGTATTCCTGAGCCCTGCTGGTTGATACAACTTGCTCAGATGCTGATATGCTGTGCATGCATTTAGTGCGAGTAGTTTTGATGGCTTGACGGGCCAATTCCACAAGGGAGATTGCTTTCCCGTGAAGTGATAGGGTGGCACGGCAAGCAACAAGTGAGCATGGAAGGCTCGAGTGGATGCGGCTTTGTGCCTTCCACTCCAAAAAGCACCCCAACCTCACACGCCTCCTCTTTTGCCTTTGAAGAGAGAGAGAGAGAGAGAGAGAGAGAGAGAGAGAGAAAGAAGATTGATGGATGTGTTAAGACATCCTATTGAGTGATTTTGTAGATCAGTTTCCTTTATCATTCAAAGACATCCTATTGAGTGAATTTGAAAGACAATCTATGATGAAAATGGAAATTTTTAGTTCAACTCCTTTATCATTCAAAGTTAGTCAGAAGCCCAAAAAGAATTCTCTATCAAGGAAATATTGTTTGGAGAATTTTTTTTGTTTGTAATTTGAAATGATGTGACAAATTCGACAAGATCGTTCTAACCAATAACTAGTAAAGAGACAATGAAAGAATATATTCTTTAAAATGATGAATTGAGTTATTGATAGCTTAGTGACGGATAATGACTCGACGAACTATCGTTATCACTCCCAAAATATAAACTCAAGATTATACTTACAAAGATAAATAATTTTATAAGCGTTATACGATGAATGACTAATATATAAGCATCCATGTAAGCGAAGAACTAAACCCTATACAATAATACCAAGAGTATAATATTATTATCCTACAGTTCCATGATACTGAGATTACTAATATTTTTTAAATATTTTCGTATAAAAAAAATCCTTTTAGCCACGTTGGCAAGTGGATTGACCTGATTCAACCTGTCTGTCTGATTCAGTCAAGAATCCAACACCATTACCTTTCCCGTAGCTGTCCTCAATTATACAGCAACAAAGCTGTTGCTTTCAGCTGCAAGTGAATCCCACTTTTGCATTGCTTGTCACCATCCATGGCTCTACCATTTGCACAAGTTTTCTGTTGCTCAAGTCTGGTAATCCTTTGTCACTGCCGAATTCATTTCCTGATCCTATGCCGATTTGTAATGGAAGAAAGAAAGAGAGAGAAAGAGAGCAGACAACGTTCAAACTCAAACCTCATAATGGCCAGTAAAAAAGCCTCGATCAGGCCGCCGGCTTACGAGGAGAATAAGATTAGCATCGGCAACGTCTCCATTTATACATAGTGTGCAGCTTATTATTAGTAAATCCCAAAGAAACTGCTGATTGATTTGGTTTGGTAAAGGCTGTGTCAAACGTGAGGAGGTAAACCGCCCACTTCCCGCAATCCACGATTTCCGTGCTCTTCCTCTCTCTTGCTTTTTGGTTTCTTGATCGATTAGTTCGTTCTTTCTGTATATAATTACGGTGGCTTTTTGTTAGCAGTAAAGGAATTTGTTGGAAGAGTAGGATTTCTCTGCTCCGATTCCTTCATGTGTTTCCTCTTCTTTCTTTTTGTTTTGATAGCAATGAGGAGAGAAAGATAATTGGTTCGGCAAGCGTCTCTTTGTGATGACCTGCATGTAGAGAATCCAATTAAGATTTTGTGGTGGATTTGCTCGTTGCCTTGTGTTCTTTTTCTTCTGCCTTCTGCTGCCTTCTCACCACCTTTGTATATAAAGAAGCCATTTAATGTTTTGAGCTACATTTGGCTGTTGTCTGAGTTCTTCTCGTGTTCCTTTGAACCGTCGACTCCCTGTTGCACTCCATCCAACAGAGGCTCCAGAAGGAGAGTAGAACGGAGGGAAAGCAGAGATGTTTGATAGCTTGCTGGGTGGGAAGTTCTCCAACAAATGGTAATCGTCTGTCTCTGTTCCTTGCCGATGTCTGTGCGTGAGCTATGCTTATTACGGTTCTTGGCGGTGTCGAACGGTGTGCAGCAAGCACGCGGTGAAGTGCATAAAGGTGCGGATGGTGCCCATCTGGAACAAGAAGCAGGCCGTGCTGCGGTTCCTCAGGAAGGACGTCGCCGACCTCATCGCCGCCGGCCATGAAGCCAACGCCTTCCGACGGGTACCCTTCTCCCTCTCTCTCTTTCTCTCGTCTCTGTTGCTTGTTGGATTGCTTGTTCCAGTAAACCAGAAGGGGAATAAGAAGAAGACTTCTTTAAACTCTTCTCATCTGTTGGTGTTTCTTCAATCGAAAGTTTCTGCCATGATTCTACTTTGTGGATTGCAATTGTAGATTCTTCAGGTTTCCTAATTTTGTGTTGCTGTTGTAAATTGTTTGTTCTCATCCACTCTCTCTCTCTCTCTTCTTCTTCTTCTTCTTGGTGATTTCTTGAAAGATTATGCACGATTGTACCTGCTGGAATCCACAGATGCTGACCTCTTTCTGCTAAAGTTCATTTCTTGCTTGCATCAGTGAACTTTCGTAGGCAATTTTACCGGTTTCTTCGCGATCCTTCATTGTGGTTTCAGCTTCAATGTGTTCTTATGCTCAAACAATGTTTCTAAATCATGCACACCGTTTTCTTTCTTCTGCTTTCTCTGAAACAGATCGATGCACTCATCGTTGAGATAAACCGCGCAACTTGCTACGACATTATCGCGCAGTGCTGTGAAATCATCTCGACTCAGCTTCCGACCTTACAAAATCAGAAGTATCGACTGAATTCTTTCGGATTTACATCTGAATAAGATCGTAAAACATGCACATGATGATGTAACAGGGGATGTCCTCAAGAAGCCGTGGAAGCAGTATCGACTCTAATTTATGCTGCAGCAAGATTCCCAGATCTGCCGGAGTTGTGTGTTCTCAGGCATGTGTTCGCGGAACGATATGGGAGCTGCATGGAATCGTTTGTGAACGCCGAGGTGCTCATCCTCTTATCGACTTCTCATCAAAACCACTGTTTCGATTGAATTCGATCTTCTGACGAGTGTGATCTCTCTTCAGTTCGTTGAGAAAGTTGGGAAGAAGTCATTTACGAGGGAGAAGAAACTGCAGCTGATGCAAGATATTGCCGAAGAGTATTCTGTGCGATGCGATGCAAAAGCATTCGATCATCAAACTACATCAGTAAGTCCCATTCGATGGTGTGTGGTGCTTTTTAGATTGAGCGAGTTCTGATGAAGCAATTCACCAGCGCAGGATGCGATCAGGGAAAAACATGGGTCCAATTCTGCAAGCGCTGTGCGGGGAGAACAAGCAGAGACGGAGGAGGCGGCGGACATTCATGTGATCTCAGCGAGCTTGGGAACTCGTCAAGCACGTGTCAAGCCGAGGAGAGATCATGGCGGAAGCTGTGAAGCTGACGAGCTCGAGTGTGGTGTTCGAGGGAGTCCGGAGAAGAAAGGGGTGGTTTCGGTCAACGGGCGCCATGTGGAAGAGTACGGGAGAGCAGGCTATTTGATCCCGCCGTATGTCAAGCCAAAGATCCATGGCGATCCTGTTGCTGCTGCAGGTCATGACACGAACGAGGGCGGCGAGGAAGCAGTTCTTCGCGGCGGCGTGAAGCCTAGGCCCGTTTCCGTGAGGCGAAAACTCCGAAAGCCACGGGTTGGCGAGACAGACGACGGCGAAAACTACGTCAAAGAGAAGAGTGCAGATGGAGAGGGAAGACGACGACCAGCGTATGACGAAGCAGATCACAATGCTGCGTCCGGTGGGCAGTACGAGGACGAGGAAGAGATGGTCTTGGACAAGCTCTTGCTGCACTACAGCAGGAAAGGGACAGCTGAAGAAGGAAGCGAAGGAAGAAGAAGGGTCGGAGCTGAGCATTTCGGCAATGGCGGAAAGGTTCACCCGTTGCCGAGAGGAGCACCGCCTCCTCCGGTGCCGTCGGAATCGGTAAACCCGGCGACTCCTGGAGCTACGTCGATGCGGCCTGATCCTGTGGATGCTAATGGAGGCCGAGTGCATCCGAGTCTGCCGGATTACGATCAGTTGGCGGCAAGGTTTGCTGCTTTGAAGGGGACCTGAGAAATACTAAGAAGTGCTCTTCCTGCATTCTGCTCCATTTCTTTCACCTCCATGCAGTGAGCACCTCTGCTGATGGATTACAGATCGTTGATGCAATCTGCAAGTCTTTCCTGTCCTGATTCCCGTCTCTTTCTTCTTCATGGATATATTAGTGGAAAGTTCCATCTTGCTTCTGTTTATGAGATTTCAACAGAAACAGAAGTCCAGCAACGTTGGAAGAGTTCTTCCACCTGTTAGATCATCATGTATTCACAGTTTAAGACAGTATTGTACAAGATATCCATATGTCTCATAAAAAAACCTAATTGTTTGTTTTTATGCTTTTCTTGTTCAGTAATTTTTGATGTTTTATAACTTAGGAACATCTTCATAAGGCATTTGTAATAGTCCCTCTTTTATAATAGTGATTTGCTCCTCCTTCGTCCGTGGATGTAGATCAATTATTATTATTTGAATCATGTAAATCTAATGTTCTTGTCATTTTTATTTTTTTTATTTTATTATTATTTTTGGATTGTCAAATTAACTTTTGATAAATTTCTTAGGACTAGTTCTAACACATACAACAAGGCAAATGAACCTATACAAACAAATCAATACAAGACCTCGAAGAAAATATCCAAGATTTTACAAATTAATCTCCATCATCACAAGTTCTTGATGGTAAAGGATTAATTAGATTAACTGCACAGTGTAATCGTCCTGATCAAATGGAGACATGCCACAATGAAGAAGTGTACAAGGGGTTCTTTCCACAGCCAAAATTCTGTAGATGAGCAAGAACAGAGAGGGATGCAATTTGCAACAGTGTGTATGGATGTCTATGACAAAAATACATTTATTCTACTTTATCTTGTCATATAACATCAGAAGTAAGAAGCTAAGAAATGCCTGCACACTTACAGCCATTGTTCATGAACAACTAGAAATGGCTGTAACAACAGTAGTGTCCGGTCGAGCAGCAATTTTAGTAGTTCTCTCTGCGGCAAATTATGGTTACCATTGCTCAAGACTATCCTCCACGTTGCATCCTGGACATCTCTGGCTTCTCTGGATCTTCTTTATCTGGATCTACTTCTTCCTCCTCTTCCTCGTCCTCTTCAGGAGGGTCTTCTGGCAGTGAAGTTGGCAATGGAGTTTTCATTGGACTAAATTGTGAGAATATATCGGGTCTCCTGCCAGGCTTGGGCCTCTCCCACTCCTACATCCTACATGTTAACATATATGTGACTGACCATACCAAAAGTCCACAAAGTATCCAATTACAAAACAAAAATTAATAGAATATAGTCTAACGACATATCTCAAATTCAATATGCTAGGACAGAATTCTCATTAATCAACTCATTTGCTTTCTTCAGCATCAGTTCAGTTCATCAGCACAAAATCATCAAAAGTTGAATAAACATCATTATAGAAGAACTGATCCTTCAAATACCAAGACAAAATAGACTCAAAAGTATATTAGAAAACTAATTTGCACACACCTGTTAGATACTTCAAATTATTGAAAAGCAAAAAACACTCATACCTTGTAAATCTTACAAAAGGTTCTCTTGGATAGATATATTGGATATGATTAACTTAATTCTTTTCTTCTGTTAAAATTCTGTTTTAATACAAGAGGCCTCTGCAAATAATACAAACTAAGTCGAACTTTTTTTTTTTGTGGCTTTGGGAAAATGAGTTGAGTGCATTGATACAATAGTAAAATTGCATATTTCCGATTTGAGATCAGAATTTGAGTTTTTAAAGATAAGACTATATACATTGACTCTCTCCGGACCCTGTATTGACGGGGACCTACTGTGCTAGCTGTGCAGTACATGCAACAATGAAGTATTAGCTCATAAACAGCAGCTAGGTCTTGTCAATATAAGGAGAGTTCCAAAAGGACAGTGCTCACACTCTACAAAGGATGTCATCGCTCAACTGAGTCAATCTCAGGGCACAAGATTTTATGTTGTGGACATTCCACTTCTGATGAAACAAGGACTTCAATATTTTCTTGCAATTTGGTCATGCCAATTGAAATCAACATCCATTGCAAGATTGTGAAGGCATGATTAGATGCAGAAGAAGCTGGAAGCAAATCCATATCGGCCATGTGGATATTGGTGTTAAGCTAGAATAATAATGTGATTTGAACAGAGCAAGAGTCGAGTCAAAATTTAAATTACAGTTGTCATGACTCAAAATGATGTGAGAAATGACCCACTAGCTTGATGAGACTAAAACCTTATGATCCAAATTTTTTAAGCTTAAGCTAATGGAAGTAGACCCATGTAACCTTATAAGCACAATTAAATTACTTGTTAAGAGCTATATCTTTCGACACCAGCATGTATCAACTCGAACTTAAATACTTGAGATTCAGATTAGAAAATGGGCTTCATAAGGAAGTACCAACATTTTCTCTCTGTGTCATAAAAAGATGCAGAATTCTCAAAGTTAATAAACAAGCAACAATTGATTTCAATGTCCAATAAAAAACAGCATTACATGCAATCACAGGCTTACCCAAATTTATGAGAAAGGGTTGTGAGCATCCATAAGAAGCAGGTTCACTGTCCAAGTCAATGAAACTGGCATATCGGCAAGCCTCAAAATACTTATGTAAAAATTCAGCATCTTCTGAATTCTTTGGTTTAAGAGAAATAACTATGAAAAAGGACTGATATGGTGAACCCTAATTCTCAAAAAATTTGCAGAGGACCACTAAACCAAGATCAGAGGTTCAATCGATGATGCCCATAACAAAAGTTAGGGAATAGAAGGAACCAAAAGAGCCCCTGACTTTCAATTTTGCTAGATTGTATAATGTAGATTGTCCATGGCTAAGAATATACAAAGGGAAATAACATTTAACATTTGAAAGTCCAAAATGATCTCAATATCCATTGAAATGGACTGACCACATGAAGTGAGAATATTTCTTGTGAAAACGAGGGGATTAAAGAAGTTGTTTTTGTTGATCCAATTCTTCTTCAAAAAGTTCCTGCAGCTTGCCTTTTCATCTCATTGTTCTTTGATGTTCAAAGTTTTAAGTCAAATAAGAAACCTTTCACCTGTATCCAATAAACAAACCCAACATCATGTATACCCTACCAACCAGACCTTTGTAGCGTTCTTCTTCCACCAATAACCACCATTCTCGAGCAAGCTTCTCAGGCCACATGTATGGGAACGAGCCCTTTACGCCATAATGAACAATCAACGAAATTGTCCTTGAACACGTTTAAAAGACATTGATTCCTTTTAATCTAAAAAACACAGAAAAAATGCTAAATTATGACGATAATCTCCAAACCAACGTCTATAAGTTCTTATTGAAGATCATAAACATAGATAAAAATACCACATTATCGCAAAACTGTAGAAAAGTTTGGAATTTTGGGGAAATTGCAGACCGAGATCCACAAACGAGTAAGACAACAAAAATCATAATCAAAGCCAACAAAAATAACATCAAGAAATGGATGGATGAGGGTCGTACGATGGGGAAATCGAGAGGGGAGCGATGGGTCATCTTCTCTTCCTCTGGGGCCATGCAGACGACGGCGTTCCGTCTCACGCGGCTCCCTCGGGGGAGCGTCGGACGAGGCAAGAGGATACAGATGCATCGGCAGACGCTCGGCGGTCTCGTCGGCGATGGCAAGGGGGAGCAGCGGGACAGAGAGGCGGCGGCGGCGTAGAGGCACCACGACGAGGAGGCCATTGCCCGCAGTACTGTCACAAGGCGAACTCAGGAGAAGGACGCGGCGGCGCTAACGACTGGGTTCGGGTTCGGGTTCGGCCGCCGCGAGATTTATTTGCCGTCCTCTTATTTGTCGTGCACTTGATCCGACCCGGAAACAGGAGAAAGGCGGTGGGAGTCTGTCGGAGATGGTATTCCGCTTCGGCCCTGATATCGGATTCGGATCTGAACCGGATCCGACATCAGGAAAAATAAAAACAAATTATTAAAATAGATTTAATATAACCTTTCCAAAATAGATCTAATATTATTAAAAGATAAGTACTCAAAATATTTGAAAAATGATTCGACTAATAACCTTTTCACAAAAAAGAAAGTTTTCATTGACTCGACACGTTGAACCACTCAGTCTATACATTTATATACGAAGTATCTTAGTCTCTTTCAAGGATTTTATCAAAGATTTTACATTCCTTAGAAGATTAGCTAAACTTTTTAACAAACTTACTATTTATATCTTTTTTTACTATTGATAATCCCTTATTATTGATAATTATTTTTAAAAATAAAAAATATTTCTTTATTATGCATAACCCAATATTATCGATTTTACTTTTTTTTTCATAATCTATTATTAAATTTTCGCTGTCAATGCCATCATCAGCAATTTTGCTCGGATGCTACTTACTATATCTTGGACGCTTTTTTGCTTGTTATTGACACCATCAACACTCCCGTGCAAAGATTCATCAACGCTCATCGCAAATGTAATCGGGAGCTATGTCTCTTTACTTACTATTGATGTTGTTTGATGTTATCCGACTTTAGCTCATTGCCCCTCAATATTATTAAAATATTTATCATCATTTACGAATAGATAGTCTAAATAAATTAATTAAATAAAATAAAATTATAAATAGTAACAAAGAGGCTGCAAATAGTAATTTTTTTATTTTAAGTATGATAGTATAAATTGTTGAAGGCTTATCTCTCACTGACATACATAAATGTTATAATCAGATGAAGTTAGACATTAGCCTTATGATAGGAGAAAAGAAAATAAAATATGACATAAAATATATTATTGTCGGAGCTATAGAAAATATTCGTATACTCTTAATTTAGTTAGAGACTATATTTCTACATAATTAATGACGAAAAATAAAATATAACTGATTCTAAATAATTAGGACATTATAGTTTATTGGTTATGTAATTGATAAATATTTTTTTATTCTGTAATTATTTTTTAAATATAATTTCCCATCCTTATGCTGTTTCCTATCTTGCAAGTGACCTCTGAGAGTGAGCTTGAGAAATGATGAAAATAATGACCCAATGGATTTCTTCTGTGAAAAGAAGAAAAAGAAGACCATAATTTGATTAACTTGAACTGTTCTATGGTTCAGGGGACATAATTATTGAGGTAAGAAGAAGCCTTTGCTTTAAGTCAGCATTCTTGAATGGTGATGCTCTCCACCAGGCAGTGTCTCAACTAAACTTCCATGTTGTGCCACACACCATGATGAGTTGCAAGATTATTGAACCTTTAGATCTATTTTGATCTTTTTGTTTGCCAAGTCCTACATGATGAATCATATCAAAGATCATTCAAAAAACCCTGGCTACTGTGGAATGTGATATTTCAATCTCACACTTGCTCTTAGTAAAGGCTGATCTGGATCTATCTCACATCTCAAAACAACTCCATCATGCTCAAATAAAATCTTGAAATGTGAGAATCATTCTTCACAAGCTTCTTTTTTCATTCCATCCATCTGAGGTAGAGACACCAGATTTTTCATCTACTATGCATGCACTACACTGTCAAATAGTTGTACATGTTGAGCATACAGAAGTTTTGTGTTCTCAAGTCTTCCTCATTTTTTGATGCATCCACAAGTCAGTGAAATTGAACTATTGCTTTTTGTCAATTTCAGTGAAATATAACAATTATTTGGATGCATCTAAATGAGGAAGACTTGACATATTTCAGTGAAATACTCAGGCCAAACTTTTTCTTTTTTTTTTGGCATGAGAATAAAGTTTCAGTTTCCCCAAACACAGAAGTGAGTTCTACTGTTTGCCACAACCTGAGATTGGCAGCATTATGTCTGAATGGGTACATTCTTTGCCTTGTATTATGAGTTTGGAACCTAACAAGAAGCCAAAAGGTAGATGATCTGTCAGATAGTATGCCTCAATCCAACTCTGGAAAGCCAACTGATGAATCAATCCTTAAGGTCTGCAAAAGGCTAAGACTGAATCCCTTTGGAGAACAAAGGGTCAAAGTCTCATGATTGAATGCTGCAAGTGGAGGACTTTTGCAAAAGCTGTATCCTTGATGATCTAACTTGAAATCTTGATCCACAGAACTCTCAAGAAAAAGTTCTCCATTAGAGCTGTTGTACCAAATTTGATATGGAAAAAGAGAGCTGTGGTTGCACCTATTTGCACTACAGGAGTATGAACAACATCAAAAGCTTTGAGGGCTGTTGTTGGGCAATCCACCAAAGTAGCAAAACCTGCATGGAAGTTTGCACCATTGATTTCTACATCATAAACTAGATAGATAAAAACTACAATTAAGTCATCCTACCTTCCTCCTACAATTATTGGTGTCCAAATGGCAATTGCAGTGTTGGAAATATCTGATAATTGGATGACACCCTAACTTACCTTGAAGTGCCTTTCAAAATGTTAGATCACATGCAAGTTTATAAGGAAGAAAGGAAATTTTCTTTAGTTGAGTGATAAAAAAATTATTGCCTACAATATTATTTAGGTGAAAAAAAAGCACATTTTCTAGTTAATTCAAAATTTCCTCCTATGTATAAATTGATTTCACAATTATTATTTTCACAAAAATATAACAATTGAGGATTTTTTTTCCAAAAAAAATATTAATTCAAAGATCTTGTGCAATATTCATGATGCTCCTTAGAGCATCATGAGGTCAATCATGTCTCTAAATTATATTAATTTTTATTGGTTTTAGCATATTTATCTTGCCAATTGACTGGAATGATCTTCTCTGTTCAAAAACTTTAACTATATTGAGGATTTTTTTTTGAAAGTTAAATCATATATCCTCAGTTTCATAGATAATTACTCCACTGGATTTTTAATTTTTTTTTGTTGAATTTAGATGCTTCTACAGTTCAATTCGACACACCATTATACATTCGAGTATAATTCATTTACAAGTGTAATACTGTAAATCCCATCCAATTTATTTATTTATTATATTATTTTAGGAATCTTTAAGTCCAATTTCATCAAGGGTTTTGTTTTGGCATTTGAAGAATCACTATATATATATA